AAAAAAAGAAAAAAAAAAAAAAAAAAAAAAAAGAAGAGAAATCTGAATCCGAGCAATTACTATTTGTATTAGTATTTGATACTTTTCACCTATTTTCTACTTTTTCTTCACGCGAGTAAGATATTGATTTCTTTTTAAAACAATTTGAAAAATACCAAAAATATCCTAACCGTTAGATCTAATAGTGTTTAAATCTGGGCCTTTGATTTTTTAGGATACAATAGGCTTTACCACACCAGATTAAAACTCAAATCCATCTAAGCCTTTAAAATAATCTTTCCTTCGATCCTGTTGTGTCACGTCATCAAGTGTACCAAACCTCGGTACACTGCGCCACACCAGAATAAAGCTTAAACCATCTGAACCGTTCGATCAACTTGCAGATCAAGCCAATCACAGCCGCATGATCTATTCATTCGCGATCCAACGGTTCATAGGCTTCAGACGCACCGGTGCACCATGAGTGTGTTCGCACCGTAGCACAATCTTAGAGCCCCCCTCTCCTCTCTCCTCTCGCCGGCGATTCTCTCTCTCCTCCGATCTTCCATGTCTGGTCGTTTTAAGCTGCCAAACCACCACAGAAAGGTGCATCACCTCCTCTAAAGCAAAACCCTGGTTATTTTACGCGTTTTCACCGCCAAATCTAGCCAGAAAAGGGCCGCGACAAAATCGGCCAACCGGAGCTTCAAGTCGACGATTCTCCCTCATCAGCCACCAACAGCCGTCGAGACCACCACCATCAAAATCCTCGCCCTCAGATTTATCAGAATCAACCAGCTGTTAGCTGGAAGCTCGCTGGAAAATTTCACCGCCTCCAACAGTGGTCGTGCATGAGGCACACACGCCGCCAGTGTCATTTTCGTAAATTTTCGATAAATCCGAGGGTATTTCAGTCTTTTACCTATACAGTGGCACTCAGGTAATTGTTTATGGTATTTTTGATATTTTTATATATAAATACTTGTAAATTTTTTTTGCATGTAAAAAAACAAAAATAAATTTAAAATAAATAACGACGCGAGTCCAACACCGATTTTATCATATCACTATTCATGGGTCAAAACCCGATTCTCAAATATGGATATACCCATTTCTTAACAATATCAAAATAATTTTGTTTTATAAAATAAATATTATTTGTCGACACGTCTCTTTTATTTACAGAAAAGGACCGATGTTAAAAATTTAAATACCAAATATGGATTATGTCCATTATTATTTGTTTTCGTAAATCAGACGCAACTCTCCGTTTTAGGGACAAACATCGACATTTTAGACAAAGTCTCCTAGTCTTAGGGACTGATGTCATTTTTAACACGTCTCCTATTTTTAGGGATCGACGTTAACCATCTTAAAAAATTTGCAAATAAGCTAAAAAATATAATAGCATTTGAATCAAATAAAAAAAACATAAGTAAGGGTAACCTTTCTCTAAAAGGATGTTTTAAGGGTGGTGTCTACCTTTCCTTAATTATAACTAATCCAGTACCTGAATCTCTAGGATCGGTGTTTAATTTTAGATTTCTAGTTCCCTCAAATTACTAGACGACGATTCCAATAAAATTTTTATTTTCCCAAATCAAGGAAAAAAATATTTATTCTTTTTGTTAAACAAACAAAGAAGAGTGGAGCTATCGCCTGACATCGTGTAGCGATACTATATATAATATGATGTAAATCTACCCTAATGATTACGGTACCACCATTCCAAATTAATTTATAAATGCAACCTCCATTAAAGATTATGCAAATTTGTTGTAAAATTGCTTCAATTGTATATGGTACCGCAAATACTATACGTGGAAGCAAAAAATACACAAAACAAAATGTTGCAACCTCACTTTAGCATTAGTAGTTGAACTTTTGGATCATGGGTTTTAGGATTATTTTGCAATATCATGCTGATATTTATTTTATTTAAAAGATAAAAATAATTTAAAGTATTTAAAATTAACTAAGTAGATAATTTCTGCTTTATATGTAAAACTTTATCAAAATTCAATTTCTTAATTAGTTAGTGATATTAAATATTTTAAAAATAAACTAAAGTTAATTATCTTGTTTTAAATGTATTAACTTTAATATGGATCTTTCTTTAATTATTTAATAGTTATATATACACAGGACTTAACCTTACCTTTTCACGCGGAATGCATTATTCTGCATCTATTATAAGAATAGATGAGTACCATCACTTCCATGTTGAATTCGTTAGATCTATAAATCAGTGAGTTGAAATTGTACACTTCCATTTTGAAATTGTTTGATCTACAAATACAAAAGAACAAAAGATTAAATTGATGGAATTGTCAAAGATTATTATGGTAAAGTTATGTATTTGGTTGTGGATTGTAACTTTCCATGATATCTGGAGAATGCTAGAAACAATTCTTGCCTCTGCTTTTAATTCGCCGATTATGCAACTTCATGGTTCATTTTGAGATTTACATTAGAATGATGATTTTGTCAGCATTTACTTGCAGAAGGCAAAGACCTTGTTTGATAAATTTGCTGCAGCTAGCAAACCGATCTTATTAGTAGAATTCAACTTGTATGTATTTTGGAGGTTACACGGTGACTTTAAGAATCTTATCACCAGCTTGTCTCCTAAGGCTAATCCCATCTCTTACACTGATTTTCATAGCAATCTTTTTACACATCAATTTTTCCACAAAGTTGCTCTCCAACCTTCCGTAACAGCTCTCTTGTTACCAACTCCAATGTAGCAGCAAACTGCGTTCTTTGTACAACATCACTCTAGTTTCAGTACTGGCAGACGAGGTTGTTTTCGCAGGGGCTGGAGACATAACAACCACAACAATTCATATCGTGGCAGTCATGGCAATGGCTCAGCCCAGAACTTCAGCACTCACAGTTATACTTCAGGTCAGCAATTTGGACAACAGGGAACCGGTTCTATTCAAATCAGTGATGCTTTCTCCATCTTTATGGGTTATATACAATTTGTGTGTGTCCTCGTAAGAGTGAGAACACGACTTCATTCCTAAAAATTGCAATTGTTAGGAGAGGTAGTCAATAAAACTAGTTTCAAGACTATATAACATAGTAATATTTTTTAAAAAATTAATTATTCTTTTATTTTAGCTAACACTAACATTAAAATTATAGATACATGATATTATTTTAATATATTTTCAAACAAAAAGAATTTTTAAAAGATACCTTACACCATAATACCTAACAAGAAGTATTATTCTCAAAACAACATAATATATTAATATTTTTCAACAAAATGAAAATTTTAAAAGTTTTAAGAAATAAAAAATTCCTAAAATACTCAATTATTAAAAATTTAAAAAATTTCATGAAAAAAATAATATTTCCAAAAATCAGCTAAGCATTTCAGATTTTAAATTTATGTAGAAAAAATAGATTTGTTTTTGTTTTTAATCAAATTTTTTTTTCCAGTATTGTAGTTAAATCTATAATTTTATGACGCAATCTCGTAACAAGTCATTGGACCCATATATATATATAGTTAATAATTATAATATATATTGTTAAGAATTAAGGGTTGGGTGAAAGTTTTTCCAAAGACTTTGGTTTCGTTGTCTCCTACTTATGAGAGTATTATTACGATTTGCAAATATAATTGTAAAATTTTTATGAATCCTTTTATTTACATGGCTTTCTAATTAAAATTTTTATTTAATTATCATATAAATAAAATTGTAAATAAACTTTTAGTTTTAAATTTTTAAATTTATTTGTTTTAGGCCTCTTTAGTGTTTGATGGTCAAATAAATTTTAAATAAGATACGATATTGACAAGGAGTAATTCAAAGGAATTGATTTGATAATTCAAATGTCTTGTGATGGCAACCAATATAGAGGGTGAAATTGATCCTAACAAAACCAAATATATATTGTGAATTTTCATTCTCCAAGGCTAAAGACATCGGTTCATATTGTAACCCCTTTAAAAAAAGAAACGTAGTCGTTTTCAATAGAGTTTTGCAAAACGACGTCGTTTTGCATCGTTTTCATATTGTAACCCCTTCAATATTTAAATATTGAATGGCACCACATTCTTTCCTTGCCTTTTTTTCCCCTCTCATTGACTGGAAACTTCAAGGAAGCCTCCTCTTTTCGGAAATTTCAAAAATATTGAATGGGCTTTGTAAGTGTAGACTATTTAATAACTCGAAGACTTCAATTTGTGGCCGAGATGGTATGCGAGCCTGTCGACGAGTATTGTTCCCAAGACATTATTTACATCTTTTGAGCAAAAGGTAACAAAGCCATTATTTGGTTTCCCAAAGAAAGTTTTTCTCTCAATGTTCAGTAGAGTATCAAGGCACCTCTTCGGTGCATATGCAGCCCTCCCTTTTCTAGTGATCCTATCCTCCCACCATAGTTGCAGTGCTAGAATGAAGACCAGCAATTACTGCGCTCCTTCTTCTTGTGGCAATATCCATAATATTAGCCACCCTTTTCGACTAAATACCGATCCCCAGAGCTGTGGCAACAAGCTTTTTGAACTTGCTTGTGAAAACAACGTACGTCCAACTTTATACTTGAATATGGTAAAGTATTATGTCCAAGCAATTAATTACAGTGACTTCACAATTCGACTTGTGGATGCTGCTGTTCAGAAGGATGATTGCTCCTCCATCCCTCACCATTCTTTTACAGAAGAAGTGCTTCGCTCCTATTATTATAAGATAAATTGGCCAGACAGTTCTGTGTTAACTTTTTTATGTTGCAAGAATCAAATGCTGAATCCTCCAGATTATATTATGGATGCTTCTTCTTGCAAAAATGGCAGTGGTACTGCATATAGTTCTTCTTCGTCTAGCAGTATTTCTTCTCCCAGCTGTGTCGATATGGAAGGTCATTCCTATGTCATGGTTGATGAGCAGATCAACGATGTACCTGACTTGTGCCGTATAAATTTGATTTATTCTGTGCCAAAAAATATGAGAAATATGACGTATACAGATGTCCATGATATTTTGGTATATGGGTTCGAGCTTTCATGGTTCTCTTTCTGTTGTGATTATGGCAAAGAGAACCGCTGCAACCTTGATGAAGCCACCGTGAAGAACAACTATTGCTTTAACGATTACACAGAACCATGCCGTACGTACTCTCTCTCTCTCTCTCTCAGCATACCTCAAGTACTGTATTATGATTATGCATACAATATTTGCTTTATTTTATATTGTAATGCTCCAATATTGCTTGGTTTCCGTTTATGTGTTAAGGGTTTATTTTATATTTTAATAAATGTTCTTCACTTCAATTAAAATGATAAGTTGACCTTTTCTTTTTTCTTGAGATGCAGCCGTATGGTCGCTGGGAGACCTTTCTTTTGAAGGTGAGGACTGTTATGGTCTTACATGTTCTTCGAAACGATACATTTACTTTTCGCATTTTCTTCGTAAATGACCTTTATTTTATATATTTTTATTATTTTATAATTTACAATGCTTTTAATTTGAATGAATTGATTTTCAATCATTTTCTCCCTTACAGTCAAATAACTACATGAGGGGTAAATCATTCATCATTTTTTATTTTTTATTTTTTATTTATCCGTTGACAACCTCCAGATAATAACAATTCAATCAAGTAAGCATATAGATATTATTGCAAAAGTGTATATAAATTGAAAATACACATGACTGACTTGCTGTAACTTTGAGGCAGGCATTTGAAGAATTGGATCATTGAAAAATAATCTAAATAATTATACTTTCCAGAAAACTATATCACAAACCATTCTTGCAGTGCTTGAAGCGCTCTGGTGGCAATATCCATAATATTAATTAGCTACCAAAAATATGAATTTGATTGTGAAAACAACGGCACCCAATTTTATACTTCAACGTGGCAAGACATTACGTTCAGGCAATTAATAACTTTACCTTCACTATTCGACTTTTACCGTATTTGATAATTATCTGCCATCATTTCCCCCCTCTTTTTAATTATTATTTTTTAAAGATTACTGTAAAAATCTCGATTTTAATTGAATTATAAAGAAGAGATTTTAAAAGTACCCGATTATATATGCTATAATTTTCAAATATGATTAGATTTTTTATGATAATATTAACAATTTATTTTTTGAATAATTACATGTGGACATGATATACAAAGTATTTTATAATAATTTGTTCATGAATTTTTTGTGAAAATAAAATATTTACTTTGTAATTTAATGTTTTTTTGTTGATTTTTTCAAATCAATCATTCTTTTATTTTGAAGTATAAAATATATATATATATAGCGAAAGTTTTTCCAAAGACTTTAATTTCGTGGTCTCCTACTTATGAGAGTATTATTATGATTTGCCAATATAATTGTAAAAGTCTTATGAATCCTTTTATTTAAGATAGTTAGAGATATATGGATTTTTAATTAAAAAGTTTATTAAATTATCTTATAAATAAAATTGAAAATAAACTTTTAATTTTAAATTTTTAAATTTATTTGTTTTAGGTCTCTTTAGTGTTAAATGATGAAATAAAATACCATATTGACAAGGAGTAATTCAAAGGAATTGATTTGATAATTCAAATGTCTTGTGATGGCAACCAATATGAGAGTGAAGTTGATGCTTGTAAAGTTATTTAATTAGTTAGCATAACTGACGAGATTTTAGTGAGATATGAGTTGTAATTAGTGAACTATGAGTGAAGGATGAATTATTATAATTGATGGAGTATGAGTGGAGGATGAGTTGTTAGATATATATTCCTTCTAAATTTATGATCATTATACCCTCATTTTTGTTTATAAATAGGCAATGTATTCAAGCCTATATGCACACCAAGATAGTGAGAAGAAGAAAAGAGTGAAAAGAGAGTAATCCTATAAAATTTCTTGGTGAAGATCTCAAGTGATGCGAAGATTATGATCTAATTGGTGAAGAAATTAATGAAATAATGGTTAAGCTTTTTAAACTTATGAACATGCTGGCTAGATCAATAATTGCATATATCAATTTAATTATCAAATTAAAGAGGAGGTCAAATTAAAGGTTAATTAGACAGGTAAACAGATTATATAAAATTATTCCAAAGGTTTTATTGATCATGTTTTTGAAAGTCATGCATGAAATCATTAGTCACAAACAATAGTTGGAAGTAGGGGCATAACTAGGATTATTTGCTGGGGGCTCAAAAAAATAATATATTTTTTAATTTATATAACTTTTAAAAATAAAATAAAAATTGTATGATTTAGTTTTATTTAAATAACATATTACAAAACATATAATAATCTTTATACATGGTAAGTATGGTCGCTGGGAGACCTTTCTTTTGAAGGTGAGGACTGTTACGGTCTTACATGTTCTTCAAAACGATACATTTACTTTTCGCATTTTCTTCGTAAATGACCTTTATTTTATAATTTACAATGCTTTTAATTTGAATGAATTGATTTTCAATCATTTTCTCCCTTACAGTCAAATAACTACATGAGGGGTAAATCATTCATCATTTTTTATTTTTTATTTATTTGGCAGGTTATTGTAACCGGATGAGCACCCTTTCAATTTTACTACGCTTTCTCATATTCTTTCCCGCTGTGACACTTGCCCTTATCGGTAAGTATTTTACTTTGCTTTTATCAGCTTATTGTGAAACAATAAATATATATTATCCAGTAGCTTCTACTTCTTTTCATTAAATTTATTTAGTTGTAGAAATTAAGTCGTTGAAATTTAAATATTTATGATGACTCCCTACAATTTCAATTTTAACTTTAGGTTAAATTTATATTATTTTTGCATCAAATTAATGTATCTAATATTCTTTCTACTCTTGTTTTCAATTATAAACAATAATTTTAAAGCATTAGATGGAAAATGTTCTAATCAAACACAGAGTACTTTGAAAGTATTTAATTACTTTTTCTATAGAAAATTAACTTTTTTTATATTTTTTCTTTCAGTCAATGATCTTATTATATAAAAACAATTAGATTTTTTTATGTTGTCCGTTTTTCTAAGTGCCTAGCATCATAATATCGATTATATATTGAAATGAAAGCTTTTATGGTTCCCTTTATTGTTTATATCATAGACTTGCATGGATACTGTTTTGTTTTCAATTTCATGAGGTATATATTAGAGTGTTGAGAGGCATGAGGACCAGATTTTGAAATTAGAGAATTAGAATGAAAAATTAATCACACATGTATAGTTGTTACTAAAATCATTGAAGCATTTGTAAAATGTTTTGATATGTTTCGAATGTTTTTATACAGTGATATATCATGTGTTACTATTTCCATGTGGGCTTCCATGTTTCCTAGCTTTCCTAATTTATAAATGGCGAAGACAACATTTATCCATGTACGAGGACATTGAAAAATTCTTGCAAAGTCATGATAATGATCTCATGCCGATAAGGTACACTTACTCAGAAATTAAGAAGATAACCAACGGATTTAAAGATAAGTTGGGTGAAGGAGGCTCTGGCTCAGTGTATAAAGGAAAGCTTCGTAGTGGTCGTTTTGCAGTTGTTAAAATATTGGACAAGTTAAAAGATAACGGACAAGATTTTATGAACGAAGTTGCCACAATTGGAAGAATTCACAATGTCAATGTCGTGCAACTTATAGGCTTCACTGTTGAGGGATCAAAACGTGCTCTTATATACGAATTCATGCCTAATGGGTCTCTTGAAAAGTATATTTTTTCTAGGGAGGGTAGCATCCCACTAAGCAATGAGAAAATGTATGAGATTTCTCTTGGAATAGCTCGTGGCATTGAATATCTACATCAAGGTTGTGATATGCAAATCTTACATTTTGATATCAAGCCTCACAACATTCTTCTTAATGACAAGTTTGTTCCGAAAATTTCAGATTTTGGACTAGCCAAATTGTACCCAGCAAATAATAACATTGTGTCCTTGAGTGCTGCTAGAGGAACAATAGGATACATGGCTCCCGAACTATTTTATAAGAATATTGGACATGTCTCTGACAAAACTGATGTTTATAGTTACGGGATGTTATTAATGGAAATGGTAGGAAGAAGAAAGAACTTGAATGTATCGGCAAGTCATTCAAGCCAAATTTACTTTCCATCATGGGTTTATGACCAAGTTAGTGAAGGAAAGGACATAGAAGTACAAGAAGATGCCATAGAACATGAAGAAAAAACAAAAAAAAAGATGATTATTGTGGCATTGTGGTGCATACAATTGAAACCTATTGATCGTCCCTCAATGCATAAAGTTGTAGAGATGCTGAAATCGGATGTTGAATCCCTACGAATGCCTCCTAAACCTTTTCTCACCCCACATCGAACGCTAGAAGAAGATGATGAAGCTAATCATGTAAAGTTATCAGATCCATCAAATGATTGTAATGACTCTTTGTATTAGTTTGGTTATTAATGATGAGATGATAAAGATAATTTAACTTGATGATTATTAATTTTGATAATATATTACCTATTTAATCTTTAAGTTTACTTATTGTATCCATCCATTAACTGGATATTATTATCCGTCGACAACCTCCAGATAATAACAATTCAATCAAGTAAGCATATAAATATTATTGCAAAAGTGTATATAAATTGAAAATACACATGACTGACTTGCCGTAACTTTGAGGCTAGGCATTTGAAGAATTGGATCATTGGATAAGGGATGACCAGTAAATGACTCTGTTCTCATTCAAAGGAGTATTACATACATGTGGAAAACATACTTAATCTGGCCGCAACGGCTTAATTTTAGTATTTTCATATCTTTTGCTGATCTTATTGAATTTCCATTAACTAGAAGGAGGTGCTCTATCTTGGTTTCGAGAACGATCTATGAGCAGAATATACCATTTATTTTATTTTAACATTTATAGATTGATCTATGAGCAGAATATGTTTATAGATTTATTTTATTTTAACATTTATACTTATCAGTTTATAGATTGATGTGTTTTTAGAATATAAAAATAACCCTACCATTTATTTTATTTTAACATTTAGTTGAAAAGTACTTGAGAATATATTTTTTTTCTTAACTAAACACCCCCAATCATAAAATTAATGATTCCGCAGATAAAAAAAAAAAAATCCTCGCATAAGATTATCGGCGACTATAAAATTCAAGAATATGTAAAAAATTATTTAGGTTTTGAGATCGGCGTTCTACACTGGATGAGGTGGATAGAAAGAGGCTGAGACAATGCTGGCAAGCGAGGAGGCATTGGCGGCGCGTGAAAGCACGCGCCAGGGAACTGCCACGATTAGGGTGTGGACCAACCCGCCATAAACGCCGCTCGATGCTTTGTTAATCGATGATGGTGT